ATATATATCTATAGCAGCACACGTCGACTTCCTTGACCTTGCTTCCTTGTCCAGATGTAACTATTAATTTGTCACAATGTTTGTAATGCAAGGGGAGCGGGAAGCGGGGGGCGGGCAGAGCGCCAAAACTGGAAGACAACTGCTGGTGTGGCATTAAGTGAGAATTAAAAAACAATCTATTGCAGCCAATCCAATGAAGAGCAATAAGTCGTTTACATTCCTATCATTTTCGTTGCCTGCTGCGCTGCGCAATCTTACTAAAATTTCGGAAAGGAATTGCAACTATTTGTCTTTAAATAAAATTAAAGGAATGTAAAACTGCTTCAGATCGGGATAAAGGCAACTGAGTAGGCATCGACTATATGTTTGACCCATTTGTTGTTGACAGTTTGACTGACAACTGATAACTGCTTATCAGGATTATAAAAGGACCCTTTGCCAGATTATATGTACTCCATCATATTTTATCCGACATATCTATTCTTTTTTTTAACGAAGTTAAGTTTTTAACGCTTTGATACTTTAATACTGTGACACTGAGCCCAAAGTCAACTTAAATATTGAGCATCATACTAATTGCGCCATACACATATATACACATGTGTGTGTATGTCGTACATACATATATGCTATTAATGCCATACGAAATCAGTAATCGACGCATTAAGCTGTTTAATACATTCATTTCGTTACGAGCAATGCGGGCTTTGTTTAAAGTTTTGCGGAAAGCTTTGCGAAAATAATTACAAAAAAAAAATAAAATTAAATTAAATAAATAAGAATGTTGCAGTCGGTTGCACACGACCGTGTAATACGCCTTCACGGTTCAATAACAGCTTAAAGCCCTCTATCCGCCGCATTTCATAAGCGATATTAATTTTGCCGATTTGCCACGTTCCATAATCGAACGGTCAGCCGCACGGACATTAAACAAAGTCCATATTATCTTTTCTTCATATGATAGAGCATTAAAATTGCGCGCTATATAATCAATAGATATTTCTTCAAAAATCATAGCATACTTTGCAGCGCATATCCGCAATAGACTTTATTTCAATATGCATGGTGCGTGCATCTTTCCGATTACGCACTCAGTTCATGTAAGGGGTATATTGAGTAAGAACCTCGTTGTTTTGATCTTGAATATAAGACTTTAACATATTCGTGTATCAGATATGGTGTCAAGCTGTTGGTAGCATGGCAAATCATGCAAAATCTTTATATACCACAATCTTAAAGCTGAGCTCCAATAAACGATCCAAAACCAGTTTGAAAGTGCTTAAATCGGAAAAGTCATTAAGTCTTGGGAAACTTGACGGATCAGGCTGTCTTCAAGCTGTTGATGGGTTTTTGTTTCCATATAAAAGAATTTACCAATAAATTATGAATATTTATATGCAATTTGTCAGACCAAACGCGAGCACCTGTGATTGCTTTCAGTCAAACATTTTTTGGTTTTTTTTTTATTTTCCACATGAATATTCAATGTGATCGTTTGTTGTCGGTAGCTTTCAAATATGATGTGCATAAATATTGTATATACATATAAACAAATGACTTCAATTTGTATTAGCTGCCAGAGACACAGCTGCGACCTGCCTCAACTTTTGTTTTCAATTTAATTGAATAAAAGGCAACTGACAAAAAAATGAAGGTAAATAAAATGGGGAAAATTGATTTTGTGCTTGTGAATGAATATTATTAATTTTTTGTTTCTTTCTTGCTTTGTGTTATCTGCGCGCATATTTATTAATTAAAAGAGGTCACAACTTGTGGGCGATTGTATTTGTCAGCTCAAATTAGTACAGTACAGTACACACACACACACACACACACACACGGACACACACGCGCGCACACACACAAACGTGGAGCTCGGCCGCAAAAGGCAAATAAGCGGCCAATAAAAATATTATTAATATGCCAACAACACACACAATTCTCGACTTTTTGGCATCCGCCTTGCTGATGTCCGCAGCGCACACACACAGGAAAATTAGCAGCAGACCACAACACACACACTAACACACACTAACACACTAGCACACACACGCCATATCAGCTGGGTGTGTTTGGGCCATAAATTTATTAACTTAGTGTCACATTTATAGCCACATTTTCTAACCGAACGCCGGCGGCAATATTCGAAGGACACCCACGTACCCCAGACACACATGAGCAGCAGCCAGCAGTAGCAGTAGCAGTAGCAGGCAGCAGTAGCAGGCAGCAGGCAGCAGGCAGCAACAGTTAACTACATTCTGTCTACTCTCTCCAGCCCAAAAGCGACTAATAAATTGCTTTAAAATTCACTTGATAATTTCTAATTGATTGACCGGTTGAGCGTGAAAATTGTCGCATCGATGGCAATTTATCAAGCGGAACACAAATATTGCATTGCATTGCCAGCTAACTTGAGTGATAGGCCAGTTAAACATGACAACTCTCTATGGCCATTATTGCAGCAACAATGCCGCAAATAAATAAAGCTAAAGATAATTTATAGCCAGCTAAAAGATATTGTTTTCATTGCTCATGCTTATTTTATGTTAATTAGTATGATATTTATTGTTTTATGTTTTATTGTTTTACAATTCTCAAATTGAATTGCTGCATCCAATTATTGATGCAAATAGAGCCTATAATTTCCAGCTGAAATTCCAATTGGAATTCATGCAATTATCTTTTAATTGGCATAGTTCCTAAGAGCCCAGATAATCTGTCTCCTATTTAATAGCCTTAGGAAATGTTAAGCTGGAAGCAAACCCTGAATTCAGAGGAACAGATCGAATTTACATATATTTATTGGAATTGCAGACAAAATATATCTAAAAATTAAAAAATAATCAAAAACAAGGAATGAAAAAACAATTAAAAGTTGGTAGAAAAAGAGTTTGCATACAAATTAAATTTATCTCGCTAGCATTTCACTTCTCATTAATATTACAAATCATAAAAAACAAAGAACACAAATAACATTTATCTGATCTCCCGACGTTGTCCTCCCGGCTCATTAAAATTATAAAAGAATAAAAGAAAAAATTGTTCAAGAACAGCAATAAAATAACTTATAAAATTACGCCACAAATCAAGCAAAATATGCGATGCATGAAAGAATTTTGGGTCCACAGTCAAATAAGTTTGTTTCTGTTTAACTTTCGAAAAGCAGTCAAATAATATATAAATCAAAAGCGCCTGCTCGAATCAAAAGATCTGATCAACTGTTCTATTAATTTATTTTTTAATTATAAAGAAGTTTGTTTGCTAAACATTTGTCTCAAGAACTAGAGAGTTTTCAAAGTTTTCGGTTCTCTCCCAATGCTGAATCTCGAGGATTATCAAAATATGTTTTGAAAAAAAAAAAACCGGGATCAATTATGTTTTAATTAAAGCACACGAAAATTCACCAAATCACAACAAATAAACTTTCAAATTCAAATCGTTTTGTCACAAAAAGTTTAAAACAAATAGCTCGCAGTGAATACAACAGGTATAAGGCAATATTATATTTAAGATTCCGAATATCGAGCACCTGTTGTCTACGGTTCTTATCGCAGAATGTGACCAGGCTACTGGACATTTTTATTTTTTACTGTTTTAGTTTTATTTTATTTATTTATGTCTTCTATTTTTTGGTTTCCTTTTTTATTGTTTACGATGCTTATCGGCCGCAGCAGATGTACAATTGAAAACAATTTCCCAGCTTGTGATTAATGCGTCAATATGTGGCGCTGATAAGCGATATGCGTGTAACAAACACAGTTAACAGCGAACAAACAAACAAATAAATAAATAAATAAACAAACACAGAGCAGAAACTTACATTTGATAGCCACTGAGCGCACAATTTGCAAGTGTTAACAAGATTTCAAACTAGGCGCGCCAAAATCGTTGCATGCTGCACGGCGCAACAGCAACGGCAACTGCAACAAAAATCACTTGAAAAAAATATTGAAGTAACAGTCCCAAAGGCTGTGGCTGTTCCTCGCTTCCTAAATGCTGGGCACGAACTAAAGGCAACGCAGTCCCGCGACCAACTGAGGCGCCCACAGCGCCAGCAGCAGCATTTAAGAAGCAGCTGAAACAGTTGTTGCCTGTACGAAATGCGTGTGTGTTGGCAGCGGGCGCGCTGCCACGAGCGGCGGCAGAGACAGTGGAACAGTGAAAGAGTGGAACGGGGAGATGGGGAGGCGGCGATTGCAGGCCTGCTGGGCCGTGCGACCCAAGCAAAAGGGAGCTGACAATAGCAGCAGCAGCTGCTTGCCGGCAGCGGCGATTTCTAACGGTTAAACAACTGCTGTTCTGTTCCAAAAGCTTTGTAAACTGAAAGCTTAAAGCGTTTGCCATCCTGTTTTTTGCATCTGGCAATGCTGTCATCCGCCATAGAGCTGAGAGAGAGAGAGAGTGATTAAGAGAGTGATTGAAAGAGCGCGAGAGCGAGAAAGAGAGAGAGAGGGCTTACATGTCTGACAGTAACATCGCTCTTGCTGCTGCTCTGTTTACGTATGCGAGTGGATGACATACAGCGCACATAGAGTGCCAGCAGGGATAGATGCTGAAACGGAACTAGATAACTGAAAAGAACCAACGGGATTTTGGAACCAGGCAAGCAAAGGAATAAATTCATTTTAAATATAAATAGCTCAGTTTCGAATTAAAAATTAATTAAAGAACGTCAACAGATACTATCCTCGACATGCTAAGACCCTTGAAGACATATGGCCTAGAAGAAAACAATCGATTGCTCCTACAAAAGCCGCATGATATAGTAGTCCGATGTGAGACGATTTAACAGATACGCTAAAGGAACTGCAAAGCGGTAAATATATCTTCAAAAAAAAAACACGTGACAGATAGTATGACAACATTTTGAAAGCCTCTGCAAGGCGATAAGCGGTACATTCTTTAAAAAGTCGTATACTTAACTTCCGTTTGCTAATTTATCTATCTTACTTGAGCGTAATACGGGTCTTAAAACATACTTTAAGTGATAAGTTAAACTGTTAAGGTATTAGAGTAAAACCGGTTGAGCTTTGTATTTAAAATCGACTTGCTTAGAATTTAGTGCTATACATTGAAGATCCTTTAATATCGGTGATTAGTTAAACAACATTATTTGGCCACACGACCTGCTCGATGAATCCCAAATAGGAGGCGACCCGTGTATACAGGCCCGGGGTTTTGGTTGCACAGCCAAAGCCAGATGATATGATGCCCACAATGCTATACTTGTTGTTCACAATATCCCGTTCGAGGATCAGCGGACCACCGGAGTCACCCTGGCAGGCATCCGCCTTCTTGAATTTCCTGTCCGCCGCACAAAACAGCGACCCAATGACGCCCTCCTTTAGGAAGCGTTTCGTATTCGGCTGCTGGGCAAAGCTGACATTGCACTGATCCAATGGAACAGTATTGAGGGGTGCACGCAGCAATATTTTCGATGTGCGTCGTGCTGTATAGAGAAAGTTGCTTGAATTGGGTGAGTGTTTCGATATATCGATATACATATATATCTGATTATTTACTGGTCTGATTCATGGTGCCCCAGCCGGCTACAAAGAGCTGTGCAGTTTCTGGCGGATCAAAGAGATTCGTTTCCAGGCACGCCGGGGATATGTATAGACTCAGCCTGGGCTCCTCGACCAGCTCAAGTATGGCAATATCATTGTACTTGCTGGTGCTCACATATTCCGGATGTATGGCAATGTTTTCCTGTACAATAGAATCCAATCTGGTATATACATACATACTGCGCTCGATTTAACGGGCACTTACCTTTATGGCAATGTCCTGGTAAAAATCGCCCAATTGTTCGATATTCACCGTTCCCAGGCGAGCATGAACGGGCAGATCCTCATTGAAGCAATGGGCTGCCGTCAGGATATGGCGATTTGAGATCAGCGAACCGCCGCAACGATAGACAAAGGTGCCAAAGTTACTAAACGCAATTGCCGCCATGTGCGGATATACACCAGGCTCCACCGGAATACCGTCCAGTATATGGAGCGTTAAGGCCTCCTTTTGGCCCTCCCTTTGGCGCTCCTTCTGGAGGTCCTCAAACAAGCGACAAGCTGCAAGGAACAATTGAAGCAATTCATCAAATGAAGAGTTAGAAAATGCCCATTTCCAAATATCCCCGGCTCAGTCAGTCCAATCAAACCTAACCCTATACACTACTCACTTTCCAAATAGAGAAATGCGAAATGAGAAATTGAAACAAAATTTTAGATCGATCTTTCCTAGTGCAGGTATACAATATAATAGTTCGAACCGGTCGATCCCTGCTGTTGATGCTAATCAAGAATATGAATATGTATATATATTTTATTATATTTCAAAGATTTCAACACATTTTATTCCTTTAGTGTTTTAACTTGTGTTCACGAAACGTCTTATCCTCGTTTTCCACCCAAAGGAGTGAATTTCGAAATGTTTGACGCCACATGTCTCAAATTAATTTTCATAAAGATCATTGAAAATAGTTATCGGAAATAATGTATAGTATGTATGAAATGAACATATGAACACTTAAAGGTTTTATCCAACTATTTTCCACCAATTTTCCACAGTTGCGGGTGAAATAAAATCCCATCTAAGCGTGCACACAAGATTTCGTCAGATTAGTCAGTCTGTCAGTCAGTCAGTCGGTCAATCACCCTACATACTCACCTCGCACAGCTGGTCGCTCCTGCTCGGATACATCTACTCGAGTGGTGGGCGTGGCTTGAATAGTTCGTATCGTTGTGGTCTCCGGCCTGGAAATGGACAAATGGTAAAAGATTAGTTTTGGTGGCTGCTCTTTGATGGCTACGCATGATGGAGGCTAGGGCCAATTGATGTGAATGCTTCAGCTGTGACAAACCCAAATGGTGCAGCATCGCCGTTGCCCAGCTCATTCGTCTCGATCTCATCGAGGGGTCTTTCCCGAAAGCGGAATGGTGCCCAGGGATCTAAATCCACATTGGGGACTGTTACAACAGCTGGACGCGCGGTGGACGTCGTGGTCGTCGTGGTCGTCGTTGTCGTCGGCGGCATCGTCATCGACATCGTCATCGGCTCCCTGGGCAACTCAAATGTGACCACCTGATTGGCGGGCACAATGTCCATGCCCTGCTGACGTAGCCGTTGATTGACCAGCTGTATTAGGTCATGAGGCTGAGCAGCTGGCATTGGTCGCGGGTCTGGTGATGGGGCTCGGACTGGGACTGGTCTTCGGCCTGGTCTCTGCTGCGGCCCCCACGACAGCGGCCTGTTAATGATCTTTGGCTCCCTTCCCATGGCAGGCGCCTGACCCCAGGGTCCCACATCCTGAAACTGGCCCCTGCCCTCCTGCCCAATGGGCTGCTGACTGGGCTGGAATCTTGGCTGTTCTCGCATGGCATCATGGGTTATCACTGGCACATTGGGCCCCAATGGGTTTAGGGGCTTGAGCTGCCTCTGGAATGGAGTTTGAGGTGGAAATCCATCCGGAGGCTGTGGCTGTGTATTTGGCTGTGGCTCTGGCTGTAGCTGTGTATTTGGCTTGTTATTGATCAGCTGCTGAAAGTCAAAATAGGGCGACTCCTCGTCTAGCTTTGACATCGAAGCTCTCGTCGTGGGCAGCGGGGCTCTTGTGGTGGATGTTGTTGAGCTAGTTGTGGTTGTGGTGTCTGGGACCTGGCTTGGGCTGCACGTAAATCAGATGAATTATGTTAGACGCCAGTTTCTTGACTAGCCAACGGTTTGGAGCATGCAGCGACAACAACAACAATTGGCACATAGCTTTGGGGGGGCACAATAACAAAAGCAACAAGACGGACTCCCTTTTAAAATTCTCCATCCACTCTTACCCCTTATCCTCCTCGCAGCAGTCGGTAGTCGGACAGCAGACGATCTCCTCGTACGGGCCCAGGCCGCAGCTGGGCACCTTGTCGACGGTCAACTTGCCCGTTTTGATATATTTGTCAATTCGCGGCTCGCACTTGGATGAGGCCTGACAAACTCCCGGCAGATTCTCTTTCACCATACATGCATCGCCTTCTGCAACAAAGATATGGTCAAAGATGTGGTCGGAAAAAAAAAATTCCAGCCTAAAACAGACCTTCGCGTGCCTCCAAATATGACACCGCGCACAGGATTAAGACGCATTGCAGCAGGCGGCAGGAGGCGATACTGGAGCCACCGCGACGAGCACTCATTCTACTGGGCCAGGCCAGCGCCATTCACAGATCGATTTTGAAGGTTGAAGGGTATCCACACTGCGAGACAGGTACTGCAAATAAGTTGTCGTTAATATAATTAATATTTTATATATTTTCATAGTCAATAAGCAAAGAAACGACTTCAACCAACTTGGATCTATGAAAATCGCATAGAAAGGCGATCATAAAGAGAAGAGCAGATGAGAGTGAGAAAAGAAAGAGGAAAAGAAGTATAGGGAGATAAAAAGAGTAACAACGCAAGAGTAAATAAGAATGTTTGAGCATAAGAGAAATAGAGAGAGAGATTGAGAAAGAGCGAAAGAGCTAAAGGAAGTGAGATGGAGAGTCCAATATTAAAAAGCATGTTTATACATACCTAAAGCAAAACCGTAAGGACGCCCTTACACAAGGTAATGTTCCAACAAAAAAGATTTCCTACGTCTGTCAAATATAAAATAAAATATTAATATATGCTTAAACGATGTGAGCGAAAAATTTGACAGGCTCCAAACAGTCACAGCTTTATCACTTATTTTTATTAATTGTGACAAATAAGTGCACTGCTATCTCTTGGATTTGTTGTGCCTCTCATTGGAAACAGCTCTATAAATCTCTTTGTCCAGTTCTATCATGTGCCATAACACAGAGATCTTATTTTTTAAATTTTTTTTAGTTTTTAGATTTTAGATCAGTTTGATTTTAATTAAAATTAACTTTGTACTTTGTGTAAAGTCTGCACTGCGAATGCTTACATTAAAACAGACCATGAGAATCGCATAGAGAGGCAGAAATTAAAAATAAAAATATTTTGAAAAAGCTTAAAGATATTTACTTTCTCATTTCAATCTCTTCTAAACCATGATCCAGGGACTTAAGCCGGCCCAGATTAAAATGTCAATATACACTAAGTCCGATGTGATCGATTATAATAGGAAAATAACTCCTAGTTTAATTAATTAAGTGCACAAATATTTAACTTTTAGAATTCCATTAAGACTCTGGTAGAAAAGTATTTAAAATCTCATTAAATGCGAAATATTTTTTTAATTCGTATTTCCAGCAGCTGATTGCAGCAAATTTGTTATCAACACACATATTCACAAATAGAAATGCCTTTGCATATTAGTGTTATTTTTTATTGAGCAAAGTAGGCTAATTACTTTTGAATGGTACTTGTCTCACAGATAGCAGAAAAAATAGTACAGAATATAAGCGACTTTTTGTGCTCAATTTTCGATTCGAGTGGCTCTTGAGGTATTTCAAATGATTTATTTTATATATGTCACTCAAAAGAGATTTCTTCTTTGTTGTGTGTTTCATTTGGAGCGCAGCTTCGCTGATAATAATGAACCTGCCATTGACCTATATATCAATTGAATTCTGGCATACGTAGGCCCCATCATCAGATCAATGGCAACTGGAAAAACCGATTGGAGCCCAGCATAAAGCCCTTGCACACATTCTATTTGTTTGCTATATTTGATAGCCCCGTGGAAATTTCCCAAATCAGCTCGGAGCCACATGAGATAGTCCGTTAAATGTTTACGTACAGCTGTGATTCATGGTACTTTTTCAGACCTTTCACTATAGTTTCCGATCAACAGGTTTCTGGGCGAGTCCAGCGCATTGAACTCTGTAACTCGTCGGCTCCATAAGATAACCTTCATATTTCAGGCAAAACCAATACAAAAACTTTCCAGCCCATTTCCCAATGACATCTGCGAATTCGTACCACATTGTTCAATGGTTTATCTAACAATCGTTTGGCTAAGTGGTACACAAAAAAAAAAAAAAACAGATATACCTAAATAGGCTACATTTGTAGTACAAGCCTCAGCAAATTAACAAATTATCTTTCATATCAGCGTTGTTTCTTGAGCTCCCATGATATTGGCAATTCCTGTGTTCTCGGTTATCTTTGAAGTTCCATAACAGATGGTGCCGCCAAGAAAATTGAAAAGTGTGATGAAATTTTCATTACAAAAAATGAAAATAAAGTAATTCAACAATTTCATGGCATAAACGTGACTTAAGAACAGCAGCAGCTAGAGCTGAACCAAGCCTTTTTTTGAACAGATTATTATTTAAACTATATGATATTATATATTATTTTATTTATATTTGAATAATTGAATATATGTGAAAAATTTCAGTTTGCCTTTAGTTATGCTGCATATGAAAATATTCCCTAATCACTTTTAACATAAATATTTTAAATTGAAAAGCTCGCCAAAGCCAGCATAAAATACTTTAAAAATAGTAAAAATAATAGCATTAATATTAATATTAATAATATTTATTATTATTCAAATAAAATATATGAAATTCTCTATTGAAAAATGTAAAATATGTTCGAACCCGAACGAGGCAGACAAATAGGTTAACGCACCGAACCGTGCACCATGAACCGCGAACCGAACCGAACCGAACCGAACCGCGCCTTGATATGTATATTAAATTTAAACTCTAACCCAACTCTACTCTAATATTGGTATATTGTTTGTTTTTTTCTGGACTCGCTCATATTGGTATAAGGTATATTGATTGTTTATATATGTATATACAGTCACAGGCTCATATTAGTATAGGGTATAGGGTATATTCTTTAGGTATATTCTTTATGTGTGATCTATATAAATATATATATATATTCCATATATATATATATATCTCAGAAAATAATGCATACGTTAGTTGGACAAGCTTTTATGATGTCAGAAAAAAGCGCACTTTGGCAGACTGCACTTGAGGTGATCTCTCATGAAGTGTGTTTGTAAGTAGTTAGCTAAATAAGAGTTCAGCAACTGTATGAACTGTCAGTTGGTTCTAACTGAATATGATTGAAAATGAGCCGCATGCGTTTATAGTCAGGCATCACTGTACTTGTTAAATGCATGTTATTGCGAGCCAACGTGTAATTATCATGAATATAGACCGTGCCAGACCATATCACTGCAGTGCACTACATTTCTCGTGCTTTCATATTTTTTTGATAATTATGATAGCTATTATTATTATTATTGTTGTTACTGTTGTTGTTCTTGTTGTTATTTTGATTGTTATTGTTATTATTTATTATCAGACGAACCTTTGACACGCGCAAGTTTTAAGCCTTTTGTTTTGATAACAACAAATCAAACAAATAAACCAACTGCACTCGATATTTTTCTTGTTGTTGTGATTTTTGAATGTATTTTTGAATATACAATCGTTGTTTTTTCTTATTTTTTGCAACACTTTGATTTTAACAGCACAAGGCAAACAGACAATTAAAAAAAAAAAATAATATAAAACAAAATGGAACTAAAATAAAAAGCAAAAAATAATTTAAACCGGTGCCAGGCGCTGTACGGAAACGCAGAGCACGGCTCTTATCGGCTCTCTGAGTGTTTGTGTGTGCGGCACCGATTCGTGGGGCTGAGGCTGGGGCTACGGGCTACCTCACAGCAACGCGTCGCTTTGCCAACTGAAGCTGAGATTAGAACCCTACAACGCACATAGCTGGAGCGGTGGCCATAGCCAGAGAGCTGAGGCCATGGCCAAGCGGTTGTTAATATACCCTGCAAAACGCTTAAAATGGCTCAGGAGGGTATACCAATTGGGTGGTATCGTATGTAACAGACAGAATCGGGCTTTTACTGATCACTTAGCACGAAGAGCTTAGTCGATCAACACATAAGAGCTAGAGACTTTAAATATAAGAGAACAAAATTATCATTTTTTTTCGATCTTTCAGCATTTTCAAAATATCGATAAATATCGATTTGAAGACATGGTTTTATAGGCATAGCTCGAGAAATGTAAGAGCAATGTACCCAAAATGTGGTATGTAGATACTCGGATGTTATCCAGAGATCAAGAATACATCACTTGCCATTCCCAAAATATCGATAAATATCGGTTTCAAGACATGGTCTAATGGGCATAGCTCGAGAATTGAAAGAGCTATTTACATCAAATTTGATATGTGGACAAAGATCAAAAATATATCACATACCATTTCCAAAATATCGATAAATATCGGTTTCAAGACATGGTACCCATACTTTTTGGTATGTAGATTGTTGTATAGTATACACTGATCGAGAATATATCACATTTTGGATACCTCCCCCACGCCAAACAAAATTTTTACTTTTTTACTTTTAAGGATAGGTTCTTGCGCTTTGGCATATGCACATATGAATCGGATTTTAAGCACCGAAGTTATTCAAGAATGCATTTCCCTTAGCTACTTAGAATGTTTATAACCGAGCTGGGTTCAGGGTAACTTCCAGTCGGGCACAGCCGAGTCGAGCACTCTTGTTGTTCTCATTGTTGTTGCTCCTCCTGTGTCTTGACCGTGCTGAGCGTCGAACCGGTTTTAGCTTTTAGCATTTCACAGAATCAAAATACGCAACTGAGCGCAGCTACAGGTATTCACGAGCCGCTGGTCATAAGTAAACAGCAGCTAAAATAAAAAAATATATAAATAAAAAAAAAGAAACTGTGATTCAAGGGAAATACACGGCGAGAGTCTGAGTCGAATTCAGAGAGCGGCATGGAATTGAATCAAATAGTTTATAGTGGGTTTTTGCCCAAAGTCTTGGCTCATACTATTTTGGCAGCGATTCGATATTGATGAATTTTGTATTTCTTTAACATAATAAAAAAAATATATATATATATATGTTTGTATGTACTGCATACAAAATATACAAGCGGTTGTTTACCCACTGTTTAGCAAGTTCTTGCTGTTAATGCAAGGCTCGGCTTTTTGATCGTTCTTTAGAGGAGCTCATCAGTTGTCTGCATTCCATAAGACTGTGAATGAGACTGAGTTTTCTCTGATCGACTTAGCCATATAATCCTATCTGATACCCGATCTTATATTCCAAGCTTCAAGTCTCTAGCTTCAACAGCGCCGAAGTTCATTCGGATTGAGTAGAAGAAAAATATTTACAAAAAATATATAAAAATTTGTAAAAAGTCAAAATATAACGAATCTATACCATATTTAAAAATTAAAACGAATCAACATTCCATGAGAATTTCTCCAATTATGAAAATAACATAAATTTTTGTTCTATTATAATAATATTTTCCAACACTTTTTTTTTCGAAAAGAAAGAAAGAAGAGAATTCATCATTAGTTAGAGCGGCCAGCAATTATTGTTATTGCTTGAACTAGCAATGCACTGGAGAACCAGTTTATATGTATATATAATTTATAAGTGTCTACATCTGAATATGCTACAGGTACAAGCTATATACATATATAATATATGCATTTTCTTAGACCTAATAATATACATATATAAATAAATGTATATAATAATATTATATATAATATAATAATACAATATATATATTATATATAATATAATTATATAATATATATATACATATATGTATATATTTATATATTTAACGCTAACAAATAAACTAATCACATTTGGAAAGCTGCTTCTTGCTGCATCGCAGTGGAAACACTTTGAAATTGAATTCATTTTCGCATCCTTGGCTGTCTTTTCTGCTGCTGTTGTTGTTGTTGTTGTTGTTGTTGGTATTGTTGTTGCTCCACAAAGTGCACGAGCCGTGTATCCAGCAGACTCGTAAAATACATTGCCTCTGCATTGCATTTGCTACCGGTGGGCGTGGCAATGGCCAGCACACAACGGCTGCCGCTGGGACGTCGCAAATGGAGCACGCTGCCAACAACAGCCGGACATGGAGCACATGAGCTGGCATTGCTGGCGCTCAGCGCGGCGACATCACGTGGCGCCAGGCACAGATGCGACGACGGCAAATCCTGAACCGCAGACAATTTGCCAATGTCCCTGCACGCATCCGAGTTCAGCAGGCGCATGGGCAGCTCATAGAGCGGACAATCGCTGCCTAGAGCAGGAGCAGGAGCAGGAGTAGGAGCAGCAGTAGAAGTGGAAGAAGAAGATGAAGTTATTCAGCATTGGAGCTAGTCGAGTAAGGGTTAAGCCTTACCATTGCCCATGCCCCACGCGCTGGCCAGCAGCTGTCCGCTGACCTGCAGGCGCATCAGCTCGAACTGGCTGCAGATGGGCGCCAGACTGACATGCGGAGCCTTCGCCTGATCCACTGGCATTGAATGGGCCAAGCGCAGCAGCGCCAAGTCCTGACGATACATGTCCACGCGCTGCCAAAGCAGAGCAACCACACATGAGCAAGAGCGAGAGGGAAGAGTAAGCAAGACAGAGAGAGAGAGCGACTACTTACTGCAATATCAACCAGATAGTCCTCATCCACATCCACATCGCGCATATCCGCCACACCGAAGACCCCATGACTGGCATGCCCACAGCCAGCGGCGCTGAGCAGCAGCTGCGGCGTCAGGGCCAGCGCCGTGCAGCGATGCACATGTCCATCGAAGGCGGCATTCGGATACGCAAGCGCAGCCAGATGCGTGTAATGCGGCAGGAGCTCGACTGCCTTGGCTATGGCCGCCGCATCATCGTCAGCTGTGCCCAAGCGCGTTTCGGTGCCCACCTGAACAATCGGATGCAGCGGCAGATTGGTGGGGCAGCAGATGATCTCCTCGACGGTGCCGTCGCGACACGTTTGCACGTCCTCATCGCGCAGCCGGCGCTGCTGCAGCAGCGGCACCAGGCTCTGGCAATCGGAGACGGCCTCACATTTACCCTGGTAGAGCGGCGTCTGGCATGCGGCGCCCGTCGTCGTGACTCTGTCCGGAAATACAATGCTAGACGAGCCAACTGGCACTGGTGTGGTCACCAAGCGCGCCAAGTACTCGCGATCGGTCCTAAATATGTTCAGCCAGGACGGCGTCGTGGCTTGGGTATCGTTGTCCCTGCTGTCGCTGGGCGAGAAGCGCAGATTCGTGCTGTTGCCGGCTTCGCGGGGACAGCATATATTCTCGCCGGTCGTAGAATAGCCACAGTTGAGCACCGCATCCGCTGACAGCCGGCCACTCTCGATGAACTGTGCCAGCGTCGAGCACTGGTCGGCCGGCTGGCAGCTGCTCAGATAGTCGCGTGTCGGACAGGGATCAGCGACTGCAATATCAAAGCACACACACACACACACACACATATATATATACATATGTACAAGGCTCTGGTTGAGATTGAGTCTACGCACCCTGGAGGCTGTAGTAGCCGCAGCAGCAGCTGCTTAAACAGAGCCAAAGCAGCGATGATAACACAACGGCAATACGTAGCATGGCCGATCCGACAACGAACTGGACAGGCGCGTCGCTCGCGCTCAACTGGCCGCTCTCCCACTGCCCAAGCGACGCTGGCAGCAGCCGACGCCGACGCCGACAGCAGCGGAGCAGCATCGAAGTGAGGAAGTGTCTGAGCGCCAGCTCTTCCGAGTTTTATTTAGATGCAAGAGAAACACATTTAACAATCATTTGTTTTCTTACCGAGCCAGGTGTGAATCAGGCCGTGGGAGTTAGGCTAGTCAGAGGAACTACATATCAGTTAAGCACAAATTGCTTGAGAATTGCTAATTTGTTTTTGATTTTTTTTTTCAAAATTCAAGCTGGCAATTTTTGAGAGTTGAGATTAATCACGTCTAATAATAATTATTACCCATCATTAATATTATTATAAATTACTAATAACAAGCACTTAATAAATGCAAGAGAATATTAACAGTTTTTGTCGCCGGTTCCAATCCGAAATTCCAAATTATTTTTTACTTAGAACCGAACCATAAATCTATCCACTCCCAATAACAAAAATAGACCCCCATTATTGCATATAGTTGTATATATGTAGGTATATAGACCCATTTTTGATAGAAGTCAAATTTTGGGTGGAGATCCAATTTAGCCTTGCCTTATTCTCAGTAGAACGCGCAGTTATACAATTAAAATTCAATTGATTCATTTTGGTTAACATGTAAACATTTGATGTGGAAAAACTGGTTCAAAAACTGAACCTCAGGGCAGGCAGTTGATCCGATCCACCTATTATATTGAGCCAAATATACATATATATATTATATATATAGTATATAGTATATATACATATATTACATTTTATATATATATATGCTTAAGTACAAGAGAACTCGCATGGGCTTAGATCTTTAGTTCTCTGCTAGCGCCCTCTCTCTCTGTCTCTCTCTCTCTCTGAACTGCTCCAACTTGTATTATCTACAATCGATGCATCAAAACATTTATAAACGTGCCCGATTTCATAATCAAAAACGCACCCTAACCCAGTCAGATAATTATGTCAATCATTTTTTTAGTCAGACCACATTGTTAATCGCTTCTACGCAATTTATATAGATGTCGGGAGTAAAGTCCATTCAGCTTAGGTGTTGCCCGCCTCTGTCCAGTTTCTAAAGTAATTTATTTTTATTATGTGATATTATCCAATGAAACTATTGATTTTGTAAGTGATTGCCAAAAGATTGTCCCGGCTTCGCTCTGGCTCGCTGTCACATATAATGATCGGGATTCCAGTCTGGGGGCTGCGCATGATCGGGATTTGGGGCACCCTGGCCGGGTATGTTTGGTCGTGGGGGGACCGGGTTACGTGGAAAAGGGAATAGATTACCGATACCGCCGGCGAGTGGATCCAGATCGCTGCGTCCAACATCGGGCAAATTGTATGGATTTGGTTCGAAATTGTGCGGCATATATGCTGGCGGACGTCGCGGCTCATCGGCCAGGAGATTTGTGGTCTGCGCGGGCGTCTGGCTGGTCCGTTGCGGTACGGTTATTTCCCGGGCATTTGCCGCAAATACCGGATCGCACAGCTCGCGGCGAAAGCGTTCAACAATGGCGCCAGCCGTTGGCATTGTTTTTGCAATACTACCCCGCAGATCGGCCACAAGGGAGTCCGGGGTAACGCACAGATTGGACACGTTCTTGGTGTTCACATCCAGCAAATTGACAATCAATGCATCCTCAGTTATATGGGCCAGCAGCAAATAGAGCACCTTATTGTGCACATATCTCAGCGAGTACTTGGAACTATCCCCATTCCATTGATCTGGCAGCAGTTCGCTTCCAGCCTCATCCACCGGCAGGCTCTTATCATCCCCTATGCCCACGCAACGAAAATTACAATGCTTGGTCAGCAGAAAGTGGGCGAGGACCATTAAGACATCCGCCTTCTTGCCAATCCGGCTCTCCACCGTTTTGAATAGCAAATCCCAGCCGTAAAAGAAGTCCGAATTTAGGGATTCCGCAGCTGGTGTTGTGTTTGGATTCGGCACATTCATTTCGTTCAGGAATTTTGGATATTATCAAGGATGAGACTTCAAATAAACTGAAACATATCTCACAGTAGTCTAAATGCTGTGCAAATGCTCGGACATACGAATACAAAGTACAGAAATTCAATGGAAAAAAAACAAAACAAGTAAGACAACCTGTACCCTGAACCATCTTCTTCCAACAGGCGATAGGTATAAAATGAAAGATACTTGATATATATGTATATATACTATTCTAGAAGCTACATGTCAAGTTTGGTGATTTTACCTCTTATTATTTACCAAAATTGCTCAAAAAACAGGATTTCGATATCGATTTTTATCGATTACTTGGAAACGGGGCAAGTAATCGAATATCGGAAACAAAAATATTTATTTATAAAATGTGATAAAGAAATTCCGTTTAATTTTAACTTGTCCGAAAGGTGACTCTTGCATTTCCCGCCTGGATTCTGGGCAGTTCTTCTTCGCCGCCCCTGCCCACGATTCTGGTGTAATAAATCGGATCGCTGTTCACGATGCAATCGTTGGTGGTGGGCGTGGCAATGCCCGCCACACAGAAACTGCCGTCCGCTCGCTCCACATGGAGCACACTGGTGCTGGCCGTCAGGCATTTGGTGCAGCCATCGCCCTGGCCGCCATGGGAAGCGTTCGGCTGTGGCACCAAGCACATATGCGTCCTGGATGTATCGATGCCTGACACCTGACGCTTGAGCTCCACTTTGGTGCAGTCGTTGAATCTCTCAAGGCGCGTCTTGAACAGGGCGCAATTGGAGTCTATCAACATAAGATAGATAAGAGATCAAATGGAGAACTTAGAGCTTCAGCTATTCATATCAATGCCAACCATGATTCTGAGCAAAGCCCACGGCGTATAACTTTGGATCTCCCTCCAGCTCGGTCTTATTACAAATCGTAGCCAAGCTCACATTTGCCATTTTTTGTTGACTTAGATCAATCGAGCTGAAAAGCTTGAAGACCGCCAGATCGTTCTTATAGTGGACGTTTGCCTGTAATGGGATTGAAGCGACTTTTGTCAACGTTTCGGATGCTCTGAGTGCCCTTAAAGTGCTCCAGCCTGAAGTGCCGAACTATGGAATACCCTTTCTTCTACGTAAAAAGTAATATTGAAAAACTTCAGAGTTTACAGTCAAATCTATACAACATTTTCAGGGACTAAATATGTGTATAGAACAAGGCGCAATGAATCGTATATGATATTAAGAAAATTGCGGGAGATATCGAACCTTGTTCTGCGTATGCATTAAACTCCGCGAGAATAGCTCTCTAACTTGTAATACTTCTAACTCCAATCGTTTCCGAGTTTTACTAATGGACATATAGTTCGTTGTGCTGATTAAAAATATTTGCTACTTTCATTTACACAAGACGTATTCCCACTTTTAACCCACTTCAAAGGAGACTGGAGAAGAAAGAAAGAACAGCTAAAGGCAGGTAGAGGAGGGGCCAATCGATTCAGGGGGCACGATCCGATCGTCTGTTCACGCACACCCAGAATATTTACACTTTATGGAAACCCTTGTGTTCTTTTCCAGCTGATACAAGGCACAGTAAGTGATAAAAACGGAAACTGAAACTAAAAGTACCGTAAGCTCAAACTCTAGCTCCGAACCAAGGGAGATCCTTGGGTCTGTAACACCCACTAGGACTCTGTTGGGCTTCTCATATATTTTTGCGCCCAGGCATTTGGTTGTCGCCAGCAATTGGGTCGGCGACAGGATAATCGCCGTGCAGCGGTACACAATTTCGTATAGGTTATCTGCATAGTAACCGAGGGACGCCAGATGATTAAAGCTCAGTCTATTATTGTCTCTGCAGAATGGAAAAGAATGACACATAAAAGCATTTCTTTAAAATGGGAAGAGAAGTGACATACGTGGGCGCCGATGTAGCGCTTGAGACTTTCACGCCGTGAAACTCATCGGGACAGCAAAACATCTCCGAGGAGCGAGCGTTGATGAAACCGCAGCTGGGTATTTCAGTTAATTTCAAAACCTTTTCCTCGATATACACGGACAATGTTGGACAGTTTCTGGCTAGCCTACAATGGCTCTTGGGATAATTTGTTGTAGTCCAGGTGCATAGATCGCCCTCTGCTTTTACATAATGGAGCTCAGAAAGAAATGCACACAAGAACTAATATGCCCAGACTCACCTCGTCTCCTTGGCCAGCCCGCACTGCCAGCGCCTGCAATTAACGCGAGCAGCCCTATAAAAGTCAACATTTGGGATGTGGCGATAATGTACATTATGTTTACAGTAAAAGCGGTCGCGCGAAACTGAGCTGAAAACATCGACTAATCTGCGTTTTAAGCAGCATCAATATATATATATATATGTACATAAGTTAACAGAGGCCAACGACACCAGCTCCAGATGCTGATACAGCACTGGGCCGGATGTTCCTACGAGCTAACAGGGGTCAGCAAAATGCAATATAACACCAGCCGCAGATGCTGACATAGCTCTGGGCCGGATGTTCTTGCACGACGGCATGGCACGAGGCGCAAGCTAAGCATTCTAGCGGCCGTTGTGAAAGCACACAATAGCTTAGGTATTTTTGATCAATCTTTTGTACATTTAGTTTTTAATTCGACTTTCACTGAGGCACATCGGCCTAGCGACTTCGTGTATAATTTAACTCACTCAATACGGCGAGTCGGCCTAGTGTTTTATAAATCATTGTCAAAATAAAGTTCTATCAAAATAATCCGCGAGGACTTATTATTTAAATCCGAATTTATATGTATATGTATTATAAAATATTTATATATTCCTTATCGTACAAACGCGAATACAGCTATTATCATCATCGTGAAATCTCGCATTCTTTCAAATCCTTATCGCTAGCGCCCTCTCTCTCTCTCCCTCTCTCGCTCCCTCTCTCTCTCTCACTCTCTCTCTATCACTCTTTCTCACTCTCATTCAATTCATTTTAAGATTAATCAAAAATAAAAATGTAAGTATTCCAAAGTGGATTGTATAGAAACAGCGATTAATAATGATTGTTTATTCTTATTATTATATACCATAGATTTATATATAAAATGTGATAAAAAAATTCCGTTTAATTTTAACTTGTCCGAAAGGTGACGCTTGCATTTCCCGCCTGGATTCTGGGCAGTTCTTCTTCGCCGCCCCTGCCCACGATTCTGGTGTAATAAATCGGATCGCTGTTCACGATGCAATCGTTGGTGGTGGGCGTGGCAATGCCCGCCACACAGAAACTGCCGTCCGCTCGCTCCACATGGAGCACACTGGTGCTGGCCGTCAGGCATTTGGTGCAGCCATCGCCCTGGCCGCCATGGGAAGCGTTCGGCTGTGGCACCAAGCACATATGCGTCCTGGATGTATCGATGCCTGACACCTGACGCTTGAGCTCCACTTTGGTGCAGTCGTTGAATCTCTCAAGGCGCGTCCTGAACAGGGCGCAATTGGAGTCTATCAACATAAGATAGATAAGAGATCAAATGGAGAACTTAGAGCTTCAGCTATTCATATCAATGCCAACCATGATTCTGAGCAAAGCCCACGGCGTATAACTTTGGATCTCCCTCCAGCTCGGCCTTATTACAAATCGTAGCCAAGCTCACATTTGCCATTTCTGGTTCACGTACATCAATCGAGCTGAAAAGCTTGAAGACTGCCAGATCTTTCTTATACTGTACTTTTGACTGTAATGGGATTGAAGCGACTTTTGTTAACGTTTGAGACGTTTTGAATTCACTTAAAGTGCTCCAGTCTAAAGTGCAAAACTATGGGATACCCTGTGCCTGTACCCAAAATTCAAACTTCCTTCTACTGGAGAACGCCAGACCAATACCCTGTTCTCGGTGAAAGAACAGCTAAAGGCTGGTAGAGGAGGGGCCAATTGATTTAGGGGGGACGGACTGTGCTTTATATATTGGCTGTGCTTCTTCTTTTTCCAGCACTACGCTATGCAGGGATCAAAACATACAATTGCCTACAGATTGAAAAAGTGAAAGATGTGCTTAAAAAATAAATCGATAATTATCGATAGATAAACAAGAACTTATATTCGACATTTCTAACTCTCCTTCTGTCTGAAAAGGAACAGACATGACCCGATCGACTCGTCTGTTGAAGCACATCCGGAATATTTATACTTTATGGAAACCCTTGTATCATTGTTAGCCCCTTTCTAGCTGATACAAGGCACAGTAAGTGATAAAAACGGAAACTGAAACTGAAAGTACCGTAAGCTCAAACTCTAGCTCCGAACCAAGGGAGATGCTTGGGTCTGTAACACCCACTAGGACTCTGTTGGGCTTCTCATATATTTTTGCGCCCAGGCATTTGGTTGTCGCCAGCAATTGGGTCGGCGACAGGATAATCGCCGTGCAGCGGTACACAATTTCGTCTTGAGTATTCGCCGAATAGTAACCGAGCGACGCCAGATGTGATGACATTTGAACTGGAATTATTTCCCTAAGGTGGGCTGTTAGTCAAGAAACACACACATCGAGCAGTTACTTACGTTGTTGGTGCTGGTGATGGTGGCGCGGGCTTGGTGGTTTCGACAGGATCAGGACAGCAGACCGTCTCCTGGCCAGAATGTGAAACGAAGCCGCAAACTGTCACAGAATACTCTAGATGTTTGTAGGCAACCAATGTGGTACAGCTTTCGGCTATTTGGCAAGTGCTAGCGGGGTGTCCAATCTTTTCCGGACACCGTTCACCCACTGCACAGTAAGATATATGTAAATGTATATATAAGTCTGTTGTAACCGACTGTGCGATACTCTGCTCGCAGCGTCAAAAGTCTCTTTGATTACACTGTGCAACAAATCAGCCTTGTCTCGACATTAACACTGCAAGTATCCATTTTTTGTCGATTTAATCCTTGACCTTATTTACTTTGACATGCGGATCAACATTTTCTCTTCATTCGATTAAAGTCTTTTTAATGCCGGACTTGTCACTCATTTGGGTACCAAAAAAAACACACACACACACAGGGAATAAAATAATCTGACGATCATGCTCCGCCCCAAGCAATGCCAAAGGGGTTGTCCGACTGTTGCATTAGACACAATCAAATATACGATATTCACCGAGACACGGAACCCACCTGACAATTGAATTATTTGTGGTTGACCGGAATTCTCAAGTACTCCACAATCAGTCATAGTCAGCACATAAGCTGCGAAGAATGCGAACGAAATAATCCATCCGGTATTTTGTATACTTCCCATTGTACTCGGTCCAACTTTCAACTGGAAATGCAAGACCCAGCCCGATTAAGACTAGGCACAGTGCGAAAGCTAAGCATACAGCCATTGAGTAAAAAGAACTCACAGTTGACATTCCGCTCACGAGCTTTCACTCGTAAGAGTTAAGTTCACAAGTTAAGCTGATTAGCTGGCTTACGATATATTTATCCACTGTGCACTTAAGAATACGGGATAAAGTTGTTTTTAACGATAAGACAGTGACTATTAAGTAAGTTCTTAGTATTATGTTCTGAGTGTTAAGCAAATTCTTAATGCCCAAGACGAGAAGAAAAGCACAAAGTAAATTTAAGAGTCTTGTTTTGAAAGCTCAATCTTAAACCAGAGAAGCTATTATAATATATATTTAGGTTGCCATTAGTATCTTGCGGGTTTTACCCAAACAGAAATGCAATTGGTTCTTTTATTCAATCAATCAATCAATTGTTAGCGCCACATGGGGAACGACATGTGCCACGCGCTGCAGCACCTTATCTATAAGATCATATGATATAGAGAGAAGCGGAGAACGACTATTTCAATTAAATGGAGCTGCATTGGAAAAACCCGCGCGTCATTTCGCAAAATGTATTTATGTAGGGATGCGTGCGTGTGTGTGCGTGTGTGTGTGGGTGTGTACGATAAGCCAGTAGAGCCCCACAAATAGACAAAGTATTGGAAAGAGAAATGATAATAATAATAACTGAACTGTCTGATATGGGAGCCAAAGGAACAAATATCGAATAAGTTGCACAATTTTTCTGAGTTTAACTGTAGATAATTTTTGGTTTTTTTTGTCATGTTTTCATATTTTTTTTTCTCATTTTAGTTTGTTTTTTTTTTTTCTTTCTATTAAATTTAAAGTTAGCTCTATAATAATACTTGTCTTTCTGAGAGAAGGAATGGGATGGATATGGCGTTAGCGTTGAGCGATGGCGATCACAGTTCAGTTCCAAGTTGAAGATGCTGTTGTTTTATTTGCACTCAAATTAGGTCTCTTTAGTCTAGTAACCATAGAAGAAGGCCTCATACGAGAATGTGCGCGTCTGATTGCAGGCCAGCAATATGGATGCCTTGCTCTTGCCAATGCCGCCATCAATAAAATAGGCATCAGCATCTTCCGCCGATGTGTCCACATAGATCTCAATGCTGGTCAGGGTAACGCCAGTACCGCTGCTCGATGAATATGTCATCTCTACCTCAATATCCACGGTGGTGGTGAAGCTCTCGTCATCATAGTTGTTGACCAACAGTTTATCGCCTGGCGACGAGACATTGAACGAGAACGAGAACGTGAACGAGAACGAGATCGAGATCGAGAGCGAGAACGAGTTGTCCCGTTAGACAGCTATTCCTATTTAGTTAGAGATGACAATTTGGCTTACCCGTTATTCGCTCGCCGGCACTGAACACAATATTGCCCTTGGCATGCTTCACCTTGTTCAGGGCGAGCAGCTCCACCCCTGGATTTTGCGACGTGTAGCGAGTATCATCCGTTACAGGCTTGATCGGCGTAAAGACGAGATCGGTGGCGCGCTGCGACGTCGACTGTGACTGCGACGACAACGATGACGACGACGACAACGACGGCGACTGCTGCTGCTGCGTGGGCGCAGCGAGTGCGCAGGCGCCCAGCAAAAGTAACGAGAGAATCACTTGCGGCATTTTTGGGCGCAATCAAAACACGCGAGAAAAAAAAATCAAATATAAATTAAGAAACAACTTAATGAAAAGAAACGAGTTTTGGTTTAGATGGAATTTGGGTTTGTGGCTTCCGCGCTCTGTGCAATCTAATTGGCGACTGTTTTGTGCATTGGCTTTTATACCGCCCGCTCTTATCGGCGGTCAGCGTTAGATAAGGCAGCTCGACGACTGAACGATAAGCCGGCATAGACTAATAGTATTGGCCATGGTTTTGGCTTTTATTTGGTTTTTGTTTTTTTTTTTGCTTTGAATTTGTTTTGGGGCCCCCTAATTGGCAATCATTCGCTCAGTGTCTATAAATAGGCCACTTGAGTGTCAATAATTTTAGACATGCCCTAACACCAAACGGATTCAAGCAATTAATATACTCCTGCAATTACCAATCGATCGATTTGCAGCGCGTGGCCCCAGCAGCAGCAGCAGTAACAACAACTGAAATTGTGATCATGCTCACCTGGTCATCATGTGATAGCTGGATAGCTAGGCTTGAGCTCCATATTAGAATATTGTTTGTTGTTTGGCATATCACTTGAGACCTGGCTTTTACTTCCGTCTTCGTGTTGGCCACTTCAAATTGTTTGCACATTCATTGTGCGCAAGTAGCTGGACTCTGATTTCCTTATCGGCGACGAAAATCAACAAAAACATTAACCATATAGTGCATGTACTTATTTATCGTATTGCGACAGCAAATATAATGTCCAATTGTCATTGGACATTGCCTGCAATAAATATGCGGACCACCCAAAATGCATCATACAAATGATAATAAAAATAGCCATGCATGAATCAACATTTCTACGGAAATGTCACAATATGATTTCCACACTCAGGAAATAATACCAAGAATTCTTTAATTACATCGAGTACAATTATGTACAATTGGATTTATGGACAGCATTTGAATTTAAGCAAACTTAACCTAGATATTATCACATTGAGTACAAAAATCAAAACGCATTTGAAATTTAAAAAATGCTTAAGAACCGAAGACATTGATTTTTAATCAACATATGCTGACTTGGTTTAATCTTTTCTCTTAAAATAAACCAAACACTTGAGTTCAGACTAAAAAAATATTTGTTTAAAATAAACTTTAGATATACAAATATACATATAAGCATGAAGGATCTGAATACTATATTCGTTAGCTCTGGCATGAGATTTAACCGTATTTTTTTAAAAACATTTGCCATAAATAATTTATACTTTTTTTATATTATACAATCAAATGATTTATGATGCCTCTTTGCGTGGCAACAATTGAATAAAAATGGAAAAAAAACTCATACACATATTTAATAAATACAAGTGCTCGAGTTATCTTTCGATTCCAGACAGTTTTCCGATTCATCTACATCGATGAGTCAAGAGTTATCAGTCAGAACGAAAAACAATCTTTGAGCCAAAAGTGAATTTTATGGTTAACATTAAAATGCAAACTTCAATAAAAAAGCAAAAAAATAATTTCTTCTACAAGATTTCAAGCGAAGTCATAAATTATTTACGGAGTGAATGGGGTTTTATTTGTATGCTGTCGAGAATTAAGTTTTGATCGTAACCCAGTGGGGAATTGTTATCATCATCGCTCTTGATGATTAAAGAGAAGTGAGTTGTGCTTGGCGCGTGTTGTTGGGTTTTGTTTTGCAATCTTAACCTTGATATACATAATTGCGCACAATGGCACGCAATCGAAAAAACGTCTATTTCGAGAAATATCGGGCAATTATTTCTTGTATCATATACGTATTAAAGGGTACGAGCAACATTTGGTGAGAGTTTCTTTTCCCAGTCGGGAACAGCCTCAAGCGGAAGAAATCAATGCAATAAATTTGACTTCTAAATACAGCTCAGTTTCTTTCCAGATGCCATTTAATCTTTAACTACAGGGTATCTCAGTGTACCGCCCACTCGACAACCTCACACTCTCACTTCTTATCATTAGGTTAGTAAAAAACATTTCGGGCCTGATGAATTGACACATTTCTTTCAAATTTGTTAAGCCGAGCGCAAAAGCCACCAAACCGAAATAGAACATACATATATGGCAATAGCCCAATATCAGTAACTAGCATAAACTTAGAAGTCTGACTCATACACGGAATCGCCCAGAAGTTAGCATCGACAATTTCTGTAAAGATATGGCAACGCTTTCGATAACAAATATCCGAATTTAAACGGTAAAAGGCCGAGGCATAAATTCAATCGAGATCAACTGATCGATAACATTTCTGTGTGCGCAGAAGAAAAAGAGAGAAACTTACGTTTAGATTGTAAGTAAATACGCTTTTTATATTGCATATTGTTGTTATTATTTTTATTATAATCATAATTATTATGAGCCAAATCCAGTTTGGTTAACCTTGCAACAAAATGATTATAACGCTCCACTTGGCATTATATATAGACCGCAGTAGTTGTCATACGTAGAACTTATCTCCATATCAAATGGGGTCGAATTAACCATAGTTAAACTATTTTTGCCTTGATCTTGGTACCACAAATCACAAACATTGCGAGTCGCGTGAACCCTCAGTTGTCTAGATTATTTCAAGACCATTCAACGGGTACGTTCGGAATATCCCCAGATCAGATGGGGCGCCAGGCGTTGGCGTCATTGTTGAAAGCTTAGCGTTAATTTACGAGATCGCATGCCAATTCTCAAGTGGGAAGCGCGTGAGCACTTTCGATTTATTTGCCAGCGATTGTCTGCTGAACGATATTTACGAAGGCCCCTCTATAAAGAAAGCCGCGACAATTTATAGATAGTAATTCATTTATATATGTGTGTATATACGATAGTTTGTACAATCAAACAACAAGAAAAAAAGAAGATAAAAAAAAAGAAAGAGAGCTACTATTTGTGGGAGAAAGCGGAGCTCTCACTTAATCGGAGCCAAAGTATTGGGCCTGATAGGCAAAGTTCTCGGTCTGCTTGGCCTCCACCACAATCGATATGAAGCGCTGGCCAATGCCGCCGGCAACAACATAGGCGTTGCCCTCGCTGTTGTCCTGCGTGCAAATGAGCTCCACAAAGGTGACAATGGAGCCAGCGCCGGACTCCGGGTATGTCAGCTGCAGGCTGACGTCCTTGCGCGCCGGATAGCTGTAGACGTCGGCGCCCTGGGCAACCAGTCTGTCGCCTGAAAGTAGGCAGCGCACAAGAGTGTTCAAAATTCGTTGCATAGTTTCGGGAACTATCGTCATCGACATCGACAACGGCAACGGCAACTATCGCTTACCGGAAACACGAGCGCCCAGCGTATAACGGACAGACTGTCCGCTGGCACGCACCGCCGGCTGCTTCTCCAGCCGCTGCATCTTCAGGCCCGGATGCTGGGCAGCGAAATCGCGCACATTCTTGACCACAACAATTTCGCGATGTATGTCGGCGTCACGTGCCACACCCGCTAGACTCTGGGCCACCAGGCAGCCAAAGATGGCAACCAACAGACACAAACTCAATTTGCACATTTGGGGAAAGATTTGCAAAACAAAACAAAAAATGCGTGTAATAATAATATGTTCCAACTGTTGCGAATGGTAATCACTGAATGAGCTCTGCAGTGGCAAACTCTTTATTATTTATACTAGCGCCAATTAAGTGGAAGGCATTCGATTTTGGTTTCGTTTAATTTCGCACCACACGCCCCAAACCCAAGCGCCCGGTTCCGGCCCTTATCACGCCAATTGACAATTTCCATTGACAACGTTTAATCCAACAACAAGAACGTGATTCATTATTGCAGACGCAGCTATTTCTGTATGCCCTTCCAGCGCTATCATCTAGAGTTTTCCAGAACAAATAGAAGATAATATATATGAAACAATTTCCAATATCATATATTAAGATTTTCTCCCAATTTCAGCTAACATTTCTGTACCTAATGCCGATTTGCAGAGAGAAACAATATGTGGTAACTGTAAAATAATTATCAGCATACAGAAACAGTTACCAGTTACTAATAACATTAACCAGTTACCTTAATGAGCCCAATGAATTAACAATCCTAATAAAGCCCATTAGAAATACGATAATCACATATATTTACGGCATTTCAACAAACGCATCCTTCAACTGTCTTTACCTAACCTAACCTAAAAAGTA